CGCATGCTCGCGCCCAGACGCATGCTCGCGCCCGGACGCATTCTCGCAACCGGACGCGGATGCATGAGCGCGCCTGGACGCATGATCGCGCCTGGACACATGCGCGCCCGACGCATGCTCGCGCCCGGACGCATGAGCGCGCCCGAACGCATGCGCACGCCCGTACGCATTCTCGCAACCGGACGCATGCGCATGCGCGCACGCATGCGCGCACCCGGACGCATGCGCGAGCCCGGACGCATGCTCGTGCCTGGACGCATGCTCGCGCCCGGACGCATCAGCGCGCACACGCATGCTCGCACCCGGACATGCGCGCGCCAGGATGCATGCGGGCACCAAATGCATGCGCGCGCCCGTACGCATGCTCGCGCTCCGGACGCATGCTCGCGCTCGGACACATGCGCGCGCCCGGATGCATGCTCTCGCCCGGATGCATGCGCACGCCCGGACGCATTCTCGCGCCCGGACGCATGCTCGCGTCGGGACGCATGCTCGCGCCCAGATGCATGCGCGCGCCCGGACGCATGCTTGCACCTAGATGTATGTATGCGCCCGGACGCATGCGCGCGCTCGGACGCATGCTCGCGCCCGGACGCATGCTCGCGCCCTGACGCATGCTCACCCCGGACGCATGCTCGAGCACGGACACATGCGCGTGCCCAGACGCATGCTCGCGCCCGGACGCATGCTCGCGCACGGACGCATGCTCACGCCCGGACGCATGCTATGGCCCGGACGCATGCTCGCGCCCAGACGCATGCTCGCGCTCGGACTCATTCTCGCAACCGGACGCATGCGCACGCCCGGACGCATGCGCGCGCCCGGACACATGCGCGCGCTTGGACGCATGCTCGCGCCCGGACGCATGAGCGCGCCCGGACACATGCACACGCCCGTACGCATTCTCGCAACCGGACGCATGCGCATGTTTGGACGCATGCGCACACCCGGACACATGCGCACGCCCGGACACATGCGCGCGCCCGGATGCATGCTCGCGCGCGGACGCATGCTCGCGCCCGGACTCATGCGCGCGCCCGGCCGAATGCGCGCGCACACGCATGCTCACGCCCGGACATGCGCGCGCCCGGATGCATGCGCGCGCCCGGATGCTTGCTCGCGCCCGTACGCATGCTCGCGCCCGTACGCATGCGCGCGCCCTGACGCATGCGCGCGCCCGGACGCATTCTCGCGCCCAGACGCATGCTTACGCCCGGACGCATGCTCGCGCTCGGACGCATGCGCGCGCCCGGACGCATGCGCACGCCCGGACGCATTCTCGCACTCGGACGCATGCTCGCGCCGGGCCGCATGCTCGCGCCCGGACGCATGCTCGCGCTGGGACGCATGCTCGCGCCCGGACGCATGCGCTCGCCCGGACGCATGCTCGCGCCCGGACGCATGCTCGCGCCCGGACGCATGCTCGCGCCCGGACGCATGCGCGCGCCCGGAGGCATGCGCGCGCCCGGACGCATGCGCGCGCCCGGACGCATGCTCGCGCCCGGACGCATGAGCGCGCCCGGACGCATGCGCGCGCCCGGACGCATGCTCGCGCCCGGACGCATGAGCGCGCCCGGACACATGCGCACGCCCGTACGCATTCTCGCAACCGGACGCATGCGCATGTTTGGACGCATGCGCACACCCGGACGCATGCGCACGCCCGGACACATGCGCGCGCCCGGATGCATGCTCGCGCGCGGACGCATGCTCGCGCCCGGACTCATGCGCGCGCCCGGCCGAATGCGCGCGCACACGCATGCTCACGCCCGGACATGCGCGCGCCCGGATGCATGCGCGTGCCCAGATGCATGCTCGCGCCCGTACGCATGCTCGCGCCCGGACGCATGCGCGCGCCCTGACGCATGCGCGCGCCCGGACGCATTCTCACGCCCAGACGCATGCTTACGCCCGGATGCATGCTCGCGCTCGTGTCAGAATGTTATATTGTCTAGCCTGCAGTGGGGTACTCTATAGCGAGTACAGCCCAATCTAGGGTTTGCTATTTGTACTCAACTGCCTGCTAGTTCAAACCCTCTTTCTGTTTCTAAACTTTGCCTACTACTTCTGACATGCTATCAGAGCAGGTCGACCCTCCTGGGTCGATCCTGTGGGTGGGCCCACCACCTAATGCTTCCGCTGCTTTACTTCCTGCCGGGCGCCTCGGGCGCGCGACGACTTCTTCCTGCCGCGCGCGGATTTTTTTTTAGGGTTTCGGCGGTTTTCATCCCGCCGTGCGCTCGGGGCGCGCGGCGGTTTTCTGCACGCCGTGCGCCCCGAGGCGCGCGGCGGTTTCCCACCGTCGAAGTGCCCCCCGTCGCCCGTCGAAGCGCCCCTGGGGCTCGCGCGCGGCCCGTACGGGCTGCGCCAGGCCCGCGCGCGGCCCGTACGGGCTGCGCCAGGCCCGCGCGCGGCCCGTACAGCCCGCGCGCGGCCCGTACGGGCGGCGCCAGGCCCGCGCGCGGCCCGTACGGGCTGCGCCAGGCCAGCGCGCGGCGCGGGCAGCCTGCGCGCGCCTCGTCCGTCCCCCTCTCGCCGTCCCCCGCGCTCCTGCCCCTATCCCACCCGTTTTAGGGTTTGGGGATGTAGAGTGTGGGGGTGGCGGGTGTGGGGGTGCCGGTTGTGTGCCCCGTCCCCTCCTTCTCCTCCTCCTCCGTCTCCCGCTGCTGCAGCTGCCGCTCAGGGGGGTGGTTGTGTGGGGAGCCGAAGGAGTGGTGCTAGGGGGGTGAAGGGGGAGTGGAGCTAGGGGCGCAGCAGGGGGTGTGTGTCGAGGGGTGTGGGACTGTTGGGGGAGATTGAGTGGAGGTTGCCGTCGTGTCGTCCGCAGCGCCTGTATTCCGGGGTTCTGATAGCCACCGGTAGCTCAGAGAGCCGGTTGCACCTGTCGCCCGTGGGTCCGTTGCTCCTGTCGCTGCTGATCAGACGCAGAGCCAGTTACTCCTGTATTCCGGGGCACTTGCTCCCGGTAGCCACTAGCGTTGCACCAGAGCCGTCTGTTGCCCGTGTGTCTGCAGCTTCAATCGTCGCCTCCCATCTACTCTCCTCTCGCCAGCCCTCCTCCTCCTCACTTGCCCTCAGTGACTGCCTCTACCTTTGCTCATAATTTATGAACTATTGCTATTGTGACTGCTTGTTGTGCTGATTACACCCCACTTTGGCTATGGGGGTGTGTCAGAATGTTATATTGTCTAGCCTGCAGTGGGGTACTCTATAGCGAGTACAGCCCAATCTAGGGTTTGCTATTTGTACTCAACTGCCTGCTAGTTCAAACCCTCTTTCTGTTTCTAAACTTTGCCTACTACTTCTGACAGCTCGGACGCATGCGCGCGCCCGGACGCATGCGCACGTCCGGACGCATTCTCGCACCCGGACGCATGCTCGCGCCGGCCGCATGCTCGCGCCCGGACGCATGCTCACGCTGGGACGCATGCGCGCGCCCGGACGCATGCGCGCGCCCGGACGCATGCGCGCGCCCGGACGCATGCGCGCGCCCGGACGCATGCGCGCGCCCGGACGCATGCGCGCGCCCGGACGCATGCGCGCGCCCGGACGCATGCGCGCGCCCGGACGCATGCGCGCGCCCGGACGCATGCTCGCGCCCGGACGCATGCTCGCGCCCGGACGCATGCTCGCGCCCGGACGCATGCGCGCGCGCGGACGCATGCTCGCACCCGGACGCATTCTCGCGCCCGGACGCATGCGCACGCCCGGACGCATGCTTGCGCCCGGACGCATGCCCGCACCCGGACGCATGCTCGCGCACGGACGCATGCTCGCGCCCGGACGAATGCTCGCGCCCGGACGCATGCGCGCGCCCGAACGCGACGCATGCTCGCAACTGGACGCATGCCCGCTCCCGGACGCATGCGCGCGCCCGGACGCATGCGCGCGCCCGGACGCACGCTCGCGCGCGCCCGGACGCACGCTCGCGCCCGGACGCATGAGCGCGAGCGTGCGGCCGAACGCGAGCGTGCGTCCGGGCGCGAGGGTGCGTCCGGGCGCGAGCGTGCGTCCGGGCGCGAGCGTGCGTCCGGGCGCGAGCGTGCGGCCGGGCGCGAGCATGCGTCAAGGCGCGAGCATGCGTCCGTGCGCGCGCATGGGCCCGGGCGCGAGCATGTGCACGGGCGGGAGCATGCGGCCGGGTGTGAGCATGCGTCTGGGCGCGCGCATGCGTTTGGGCGCGCGCATGCGTCCGGGCGCGAGCATGGGTCTGGGCGCGCGCATGCGTCCGGGCGCGCGCTTGCCCCGAGCGCGGCCTTGCGTCCGGGCGCGCGCATGTGTCCTGGCGCGAGCATGCGTTATGAGCCATGTTTTAGCGAAACGGGATCGAATCAGCATCGGTATAGAAAATTGTGAAGCAGTCGATATTTTTTGCACTTGATCGTACATTGTACCCCCCCGCACCTTGCATGCTTCACTCCGGGGCTCTTTGCAGCATGATTGCATGTCCGTGAACTCACAAATGCAATCTTCCCTCAAAAGAAATATGCTCATTTCGGTCGTTTGTAGCCGGTATAGAAAATGAAGAATGCGTGGTAATTTTGGCTTTGCGTTGGTGCAAGAACTGACAGTCGTAACAGGGGAAATTTCTGTATCATAAACAGAATGTTGGCCAAGAAGTCAATCTGAAATAGTTGGCTTGATGGTAAACTTCATAGGGAAACTCTGTTGAATCGGATTGATAGAATTTCCGGGTATCGAGGTGTCCATTGACGAAGTTCCTGGTTCCCAAGTTTCAAGGCGAAACCCCAATTGCCCGCCTCGAATCGCAGCCACCAGCCTTGAACGTTGGATCCCACGCGACAAGCTCGTTGCCTCCAGCAACAATACCCACGTTTCTGCCAAGCAGTTTGTTTTACCCTTTGTTTTCTAGAGCTTTCAATTTTATCACATTTCTGCTTGACACCCACCACTGCTATTATCTTTGTATGTCTCGTTCCCGCGAAAGATTTTCTGTCAATTGCCCAGGGCTTGGATGGGTGTGTAGTGTAGCCCTTCCTATGCCCTCGCACTTCCTCTCGCTTACCGCATTCGTGCGGGCTTGTTTGTCGAGGGTGAGCGGAAGAGCATGACGGACGGCCCTCACCGAACAGCAGATTAGGTCAAGACCAGATGGCCCTCATCTCTACATATCATATCTCCTTAAACTAAAGCCATCCTTTTTGCCATACTAACGTGTCACTTCCGCATTGGTGCAACCACGCCTACAGAAGCACCCTATTACCCTCTAGACTGTCGTGCCGTAGACCCTCCGGAGCCCCTGCTGATTGTTTTTCGTCCTGCAGTCGTTACCCGTCATGCACGTTAGTTAAGCGCAGCAACTTGCTCTAGGTAGCACGAGGCGGGTCCACGAGCCGAGAATGTCGCTACTGACAGAGTACGAGGGGTGGAAGGAATCGCCGGACGTCGAGTCGCTGCTGCCGTCCACGTCGCAGCCGTCGGAGTCGCAGCCGCCGGCATCCCAACCCTCAGTACCGTCCCTTACCACTCCCCCTTCAGCGACCGACTCCGCTCAACTGGCGTCTCCTCGCCAGCCGCACCCACACCCGCCTGGCGCTGCGCTCTTCCCGTCCGCCTCTACGCCGGCAACCGCAAGGCTTCCGCGAGGGGAGAGCGATCGCGGGCCGCGGTCGAATGAGGGGGAGGCGGCGGATGCGCAACGCCAGGCGGCGGAGCAACGCCTTCCGCCGTCCGTCAGCACTGGCGGCAAAGCGAAGCAACGGAGCGGGCCCTTGAACCGGGTAACGTCCGCGCTGCGCCCCATGTCCGCCATGTACCCCCGGCGCAAGCCGCCGGGCCCGGGGGTGCGCTTCGACGACGATCGCGACGTCCCCTCGCCGAGAGCCGACGGCAGCAACAGCTTACCGAGGGCGAGCGCCGCCGTCGACGCGCAGCCTGACGACGGGAGGGCGCTGACGGGCGGGCAGAAGAAACCGGGGGAGGAAGGCGGATTGCAAGGGGAGGGCGGTGTGGGGAAGGTGGGGTCGGGGCGGAGCAAGTGGCAGATGGTGCGGCGGTCGCTGAAAGACATCAAAGAGGTGGAGCGCGAGCTCAAGGACATGGCGGACACTGCGCGCGGAGGGGCGGCGGCGGACGACGAGGGCGCGAGTGAGGGCGCGGACGACGACGACCTGGAGCGGCTCGCCAAGGACCTCGAAGCGCTGCGCGCCGAGCGCAAGGCGCGGCAGCAGCAGCAGAAGCAGCAGCGCGCGACGAACCCGATAGGCAACGCAGGCGGACCGCTGCAGTCGGCGGTGCACGTGGACATGCCGGGCGGCGTGCGGCAGCGCAAGATGGTGCGGCAGAGTGTGATCATGTGCATGGACCCCATGTGCAACCGCTGCCCGCCCGAGATGCACCTCCACATGCGCAAAATGATGGCCGCCGCCGCGCCCGGCGCCAGCGCGGCGGTGACGCCGGTGGCGAAGGACTACTCGGCGATGGACTGGATGCTTGACGACGACGGGGATGAGGACGGCGACGGCGAGGAGGAGCTGCTCGTCACGCTGCGCTGCTGCGGCCTCCGATTCACCTACGTGAGCCCTGACACCCGCGCTGCACCCATTCACCTACGTGAGCTCCCCGCGCTGCCTACTCGTAGCGAGGCATTGCCACTGTCAGTGTCCGTGCTGCATTGCCATTGCCACTCCATGCCACGCCATGCCACGCCATGCCATGCCATGCCATGCCATGCCATGCTGCGTTGCCATTACAACGCCATGCTATGCTGTGCCCACCAGCGTGCCATACCCACCACCTTCCCATCCCTCCCCCTCCCATCCCTCCCATTGGTCCCATCCCTCCCCATCCCTGCGCGCCACTGGCAGCGCCGGCGGCGCTTCCTGCTGCGGCGGTTCTTGGCGGAGCTGTGGCCGCCGCCGCTGCTGCATCCGCACAGCTACTACGTGAAGCTGTGGGTGAAGCTGCAGTTCGGCATGATGCTCGCCGCCTTCCTGCTCGACCCCTTGTTCCTCCTCGTCCTCTCCGTCTCCCAGGTACCCGCCCCTCCCTCACCCAGATACCCGCCCCTCCCTCACCCACCTGTCTCTCCGTCAGTCAGGTGCCTCTCCGTCAGTCAGGTGCCTCTCCGTCAGTCAGGTGCCTCTCCGTCAGTCAGGTGCCCCTGCGTCAGTCAGGTGCCCCTCCGTCAGTCAGGTTCCCCTCCGTCAGTCAGGTTCCCCTCTGTCAGTCAGGTTCCCCTCCGTCAGTCAGGTTCCCCTCCGTCAGTCAAGTGGTTCCCTCCCACCACTCTGGGTTCCACTCCCCTTCGTCCGATCATATATTTTCCGCGAAACACCGTCTACTTTGAAGCCAGCCTGCATGTGTGTGCGTGTGCGTGTGTGCGAGTGGGCATGCGCAGGAGAACATGTGTGTGTACACGAGGTGGACCTTCGCCTACTGTCTCGTCGGCATTCGCACCTTCATTGACTTCCTCACGCTCCTCAACATGCTCGTGCATGTGAGTCTCTCTCAACATGCTTGCACATGTTGCGGCTCTCA